CACACACACACACACACACACACACACACACACACACACACACACACTTACTGAGCAAACATTAATGTTCCAGAGTCTACATAGCACTCCGGTCAAAGCAGTCATACTCATTCAAGTCCAAGTCCAACCAATACTGAATGATGAGTCCTGGGCAGGCTGTCTAACGTCACAGTGACACAGGGATGTTTGTAAGATGAAGCTGCTGCCGTTTCTTACCTGTACGTCACTATTGTGATGAAATAAACTATTGTGTATAAAAAATTTGGGATTGCGCCTGGGACTGTTGTTTAGTGATTACTATTATGCTGCATGTTAATATATAAATATAAATATATAGTCATACAAAACAAGGACCCACTTTACCATAATGAAAAGACACACATCAAATATAACAGAATAGATATGTGTAATTTACAAAGGGGTTCAAAGCAAAACAACAAAGTGCAAACATGGGTCTGTCTGAGGCTTGTGCATTTAATAACCAATGACACTGTGTTCTCATTATCCCAGTGCTAAGCCAACTGAGGTTAAGCAATGCTCACCACGGCATCGTTCATGCAGAGCCAGGAGCACTGGAAGATTGTGTTTGATGCCAGGTTTAAAAAAAATAGCTTTTCAAACCTTTTTTATTTAAAAAGTGTTATCAATTCTCTGCCCCCACCACCACTTTTTACAGAGCATACCAAGGCATGTATGTACAGGGCAGAAGACAACTTTCAGGAGTCAGTTTTTTCCTTCTACCCTGTGGGTTCTGGGGTTGGAACTCAGTCAGATTGTCAGGCATGGTGGCAAAAGCCTTTACCCACTGATCTGTCCTACCTGCCCAGGATCTTCTTTCTTAACCTCGAGTTTCAGGATTGCAGGCAATCTGTAGGAAATCCACACCATTTAAAGGTTCTGTAGTCCCAAAAAGACTTTGAAGTACAGTCAGGAAATGGTTTTCTTTTTGTAAATCTTGAGACAGGATAATAGCGAACTCCCTATATAGCTGACAATGACCTTGAATTCAAGCCTCCTGCCTCTTGACTCCCTGGTCCTGGAATTTCAAGTGCGTGCCGTGATGCCCAGCTTAAAGATGTGCTTTGTGTTTAAGAAGCATTGTTTCTGTTTTCTTTCTTTTCCTTTCTTTCTTTCTTTCTTTCTTTCTTTCTTTCTTTCTTTCTTTCTT